AAGTCAGTAATGTCCCTTGCATGTTCTTTTTTTAAAAAAATTTAAGGTATGCAAATCTTATGTATTTCCTTTGTACAGATTCAGGAATATAGTGATACTTCCCCTCTACACACACACTCCCATTCTTCTTCCTCCCTCTCCTGTTTCCTCCTTCTCCTTTTACAAAGATCTATTTTCAGTTTACTTTATACTTATAAGATTAACCTTACACTAAGTAAAGAGTTCAACAAATGATATGAAGAAAAAAAGCACTGTTCCTCAACAGTTGAGACCAGGGCTGTAAACAATCATCCAATCTCAAAATGTCAATTTCACTCCTATACATTGCATTCACTGATCAGGTAGAACATATGATATTTGTCTTTTTGGACTGCTTATTTCACTAAGTATAATGGTTTTCAGTTGCATCTATTTTTTTTTTTTTTTTGTGAAAGGCAGGATTTCATTTTTTTTTAACTGTTGAGTAGTGCACCATATATATATATAGAGAGAGAGAGAGAGAGAGAGAGAATATACTACTATTCAGTATATATAGTACTACTCAGCAATTAAAAAATGAAATCTTGTCTTTCACAAAAAGACATATATATATATATATATACACACACACACACACACACACCATAATTTCTTTATCTGGTCATCAGTTGATGGCTATGTGGGTTGGTTCTGTATCTTAGCTATTGTGAATTGAGCTGCAATAAACATGGGATCACAGATCATTCTTTTATATGCTGATTGCTTTTTGTTTAGGTAAATTCCCAGGAGTGGGATGGCTGGGTCATATAGTAGACCTATTTTCAGATTTCTGAGGTATTTCCATACTGTCTTCCATAATGGCTGTACTAGTTTACATTCCCACCAGTGGTGGATAAGGGTACCCATTTCTCTACATCTTCGCCAGCATTTATTGTGTTTTGATTTCTGTATGAGAGTCATTCTAACTGGGGTGAGGTAAAACCTCATTGTGGTTTTGATTTGCATTTCCCTGATGGCTAGTGATCCTGAGCATTTTTTCGTATGTCTGTTGGCCATTTGAACTTCCTCTTTTGATAAATGCCTGTTCGAGTCCTTTGCCCATTTCTTAACTGCGTTGTTTGTTTTGTTGTTGAGTTTCTTGAGCTCTTTGTAGATTCTGGATATTAATCCTTTGTCATTTGCATAGTTTGCAAATATTTTCTCCCATTCTGTTGGTTGCCTCTTTGCTTTGTTGTTGTTTTTTTTTTTTTTTTTTTTTTTTTTTTTTTTTCAGTAAAGAAGCTTCTCAATTTGATGTAATCCCATTTGTCAATTTTGGATTTGATTGCCTGTATTTCTGGGGTCTTTTCCAAGAATCTTTGCCTATGCCTATGTCTTGTAGAGCTTCCTCAGTGTTCTCCAGTAATTTGGTGGTATCATGTTGTAGACTTAGGTCCTTCATTTTGAGTGGACTTGATGTAAGATAGGGGTCTTGTTTCATACTTCTACACGTAAAGATCCGGTGTTCTCAGCACCCTTTGTTGAAGAGGCTATCTTTTCTCCAGGGATTGATTTTAGCTTTTTTTTTTTTTTTTGGTCAAACATTAGTTGGTTGTAGATGTGTGGATTGAATATCTGGGTGTTCTGTTCTGTTCCATTGGTCTATGTGTCTATTTGTATGCCAGTACCAGGCTGTTTTGATTATAACTGCCCTATGGTATGTTTTGAAATCTGTATTATGGTACCTCTGGCTTTTTTTTTTTTTAAAGATTTATTTTTATTTATTTGAAAGACAGAGTCACAGAAAGAGGTAGAGCCAGAGAGAGAGAGAGAGAGAGAGAGAGAGGTCTTCCATTCCACTGGTTCACCTCCCAATGACCACATTGGCCAGAGCTGAGCAGATCCGAAGCCAGAAGCCAGGAGCACCCAACGTGGATGCAGGGACCCAAGGAGTTGAGCCTCCTCTACTGCCTTCCCAGGCCACAGCAGAGAGCTGGATTGGAAGTGGAGCAGCCGGGACTTGAACCGGGCCACAGCACCGGCCCCTGTTTTTGTTGTTTAAAGATGGCTTTAACTCTCCAAATTCATGCCTATATGGAACCTGGAATCTAAAATGAGATTTTAGCAGATGTAATCAACTAAATTAACATGAGGTCATACTGGAATAGGGTGGACCCTAAATCCAGTGGCTGTGTCCTCATGAGGAGACCGTGTGACAAAGGAGGCAGAGATTCGATGATGCAACCACGCGTCAAGGACTGCGAAAGATTGCTGGCAGTCACCAGAAGTTGGGCAGAGGGGAGGAAGGAGTCTCCTCAGGTGTCTTCAGTGGGAGGGGCGCCTGCTAACACCTGGGGTTTTAGGTTCCACTGTGAGGAGGTAACTTCCCGTCTGGTTTGTGAACTCGGTGGCAGCTGCTCTGGGACACTAACTCAGATATGCATCCTCAGACAGTCACCAGGGCCAGAAAGCACGTGCGCTAGGCTGTGGTTGGTCCAGCGTGGAGCAGGTGCCTGCCCTTCGACCAGCCACTGTGACCAGCGAGGTGGGTTTGCCCCTTTTAAACTCCAGGGTTAGAGTTGGGGTAGATGTCAGGCATGGCAGGCAGCAAAGGCATAATGATGGGTAAAGGCAGACAAAATCATAGATGTCCACATCCGTGGGTGGCACTGTGGTGTTGCTGTGTAGGGCATACTGGCTTCGTGTCTTACAGATGCCGTTTCTGATCCTTACAATAATTCTGCAAGGTTGGCAGATTTTACCAAAGGCCCTGAGAGGATAGGTAGTGGCCATGGTCACCTGGAAGTCACTAGGGAAGAAGCAGGACCAGCATCATGTGGACTCTGATGGCCAATCCCTGCCCCCGGAGGAAGGCTGGTTTCTGTAGGCATTAAAGGAAGGCCATGGCCTTGGGCTCTGATGTGATGAGTGTTAGAGAGTTGCCATGGGGCCCTGGTCTTACCAGTGAAGTCAAATTAGCTAATATTTTGGGGTCCAGTGCTATGGCACAGCAGGTTGAGCCGCCAACTGCAGCACTGGCATCCTGTGTGGGTGCTGGGTCATATCCTAGCTGCTCCACTTCTGATCCAGCTTCTCCTAGTGTGCCTGGGAAAGTAGGATGCCCAAGTCCTAGGACCCCTGCAACCCATATGGGAGACCTGGAGGAAGCTCCTGGCTCTTGGCTTCAGCCTGGTCCTGCCCAGTCACTGTGGTCATTTGGGGAGTGAACCAGCAGATGGAAGCCTTCTCTTTCTCTGTAGCTCTGACTTTCAAATTAATCAATAAATCTTTTTTAAAAATTAGCTAATATTGTGTATGTGTGTGTGTGTGTGGGTTTGCATGTTTGTGTACCAACTCCCCTGACTGGAAAAAGAGACATTGGAGGCAGAGTTGGCCAACAGTGCTGGCTGGCTGGAGGGTTCTGGACGCTGTAGCCCAGGGAGGAGGGCCTGTGACTTGTGTTCCTTGGGGCTTTCCCAGAAGCGCACTCCAAGTCAAGGACTCCAATGCAAGCAGGTTTATGGGAAGCTCAGGAGCTGCCAACAGAGAAGAGGAGGCAGCTGGTGACTGTGCTGTTCCACCAGCAGCTGCCACCAGTGGAGGAAGCTTAATCGAGTGGACGATGGGCCAGACATGGCCTAGACCCTTCCCACCCGAGGACCGAGGGAGAGGGTGGGGTGTGCATGTGCCGGCTTCCTAACTTCATCGTTGGTGGCTGTCCTGGGGGTGCACGCACGGGGGGCTTCCTCCTGCAAGTCACACGGGGGCTGGAGGAAAAGGCTGCAGGCGCTGGTGGTCTTAGCCGGTTGCTCACAGCTGCCTGCCACAGGAAGCACTCTGATTATCCACAGAGAGGCGGAGTCAGGGGGCTCAGGTCCCACAGGGGGTGTGAGGCAGAGCCAGCGCTGGCTCCGGGCCTGGGCTCCTCACCTGGACGTTCCGCTGCTCCCTGCAAGGAGCCGGCCTTTTCCCTGCAGCTCCTGGCTTCTCAGCACTCCCGGGCAGGAGGGAAGCAGGCAGAGGAGGGGGCCTGGCACCAGGGAACGCTGTCAGCTCTTTTGTCCTGGGTGTGTGTGAGGTGTTTCCAGGCACACGGCCTCATGCCGTCCCCACAGCCGCCCTTGTCCTCCTATTTCCAGATGTGGAACCTGAGACTTTTGGGGTAACCGAGCCAGGGACACAGCCCGAGTGCCATGGACTCCAGGGACACACCACACTTCACATACACAGATTGCATCCCCAGGAGGTGAGTGTCCCAGGAGAAGAGAGGTCAGGTTCAAGGCCACTTTCCTGTGACCCCAGAGCAGTCTACCGTCTTGCCTTCCAGTGCTGCGTCTTAGAGCCAATCAGATGATGGCCGGGAGGTGCGGGAAGACCCGCGTGGTGAGGTTATCCGGCTCGTGTCTGTCTGACCTGTGACAGCGGTGTTGGTGGGTGCGGGCTGGTGACGGGGAGGGCCCTTCCTTCCCAGCAGGGTGAGGAGGGGGCCGCTCTCGTGCTCTCCTTGTGCCTGCTTAGAACAGGGGCCTTCCCCAGAGAGGAGTCCTCTTCTGCTGCCCCCGTCAGCTCTCACTCGCACCTTCTACCCGATGCTCCTGCGTGGCGACAGAGGGAGGCGCGCCCTCCATGTCCAGCCGATGTATGCTCGCTGTTGAAATAATGTTTAATCTGAAAATGCTAATTCGTTTTTTATGCTGATTATGGCTCAGCCATCTGTGGTTGCTGCTTTGTTCGTGGAGTTCAGGAGCAAGCCCGTTTCCCAGGCCTGGCTCCCTGGTGATTTATGCCATGGGAGGCCCACTGCCTGCCTTCCGCCCTCCTTTTTCCCTCCCTCCGTCCCCTTTCCTAGACATTGATTGATTTAGAAAGGAAGGGTGACAGAGAGAGAGAGAGAGAGAGAGAGAGAGAGAGAGAGATCTTCCATCTGCTGGTTTGCTCCCCAGATGCCTGCAGCAGCCCCTGATGGCCAGGCTGGAGCCAGGAGCCAGGAGCGCTATCAGAATCTCCCACGTGGGTGTCAGTGACTTAAGTCCGTGACTCATCGTCTGCTGCCTCCCAGGTGAGTAGTAGGAATCTGGATCAGAAGTGGAGGCAGGACTCAGCCTGGGGCACTCTGATATAGGAGGTGGGCGTCCCAAGTGGCAGCTTAGCTGCTGGGCCACAGCACCACCCTCCTGCTTTGAGGAGAGCCCCACTGTGGCCTTGCCTGTGCTGCTTTGGGATGGGTGCTGTGGTGACTCCTGGTGTGCATGTGCATGTGCAGAGCTTGGCCTCAGACAGGGCGGCCTGACTCCACGTGGAGGGCTGGACTTTGGTACGCACAGGTGTTTGTGTGCGTGTGTGCAGAGTTGGGCACAGTGAGCCGCAGGATTGTAGAATTAGGAAGTCGAAGGACTGAGACCTCCAGGGCTCTCCTTTGGCCAGTGAGGAATTAAGAACCAGCAAAGATGGGGCACGTTCTCCAAGGCTACCCAGCTGCTTGGTGGTGGAGAAGGGACTGGCTCCTGGCCCTTCCTCAGAGCACAGGACTCTGCCCGAGAGGTCAGAGGGAGTGGCTGTGGGAAGCTTTACCGGCTGATCTTACCGACTCAATCATCACTCTGATGCATCTGCGGCGCCGGTCTGCCAGGTGCAGAATGAACTGCAGACACAGGAACTTCCTGAGAGGGCAGGACACGATGAGAACATCACCCGCGCTGGGCCACAGGGTCAGGCGTTCTTGGAGCTTGCAAGAAGGGCATAGAGGGAGTGGAGTCAGGGCCTTTGGAGGCAGGGAGTCCTGAGCGGGGTGTTAGTGTGGTCGAGGGGAGAGAGCAGGCCGGCCGGGGAGGTCCTTTGGCAGGTGCATGGCCAGAGCTGACGCAGGAGGCAGGACTCAGGATGTCATCTCCAGAGGGTGTCACCTAGGGGATGGGAGGGGCTGGGTCTCCCAGGCTGGTTTCAGTCGTTCATCAACAATGGTGTTGTGCTGCCTGGGGCCGATGTGGGGAGCAGGTGGTCCCATGGTGAGCTGGCTGCCAGCAGGCCACTTACGGTCTAGTTGACAGCTATGGACACAGTGATCAGGAAGCTGGAGCTTCAACAACACTTGTGATGTGGGCCATGAGGAAGTGTCCAGAGGCGCTGAGTGAGTCTGGGGGGGTCAGGTGGTCTTTCTGTGGGCTCCAGGGACAGGGAGAGGGTGGTGGCTGCAGGGCAGAGGGCGTCTCTGAAAGGTGGGAGAGCAGAGGTGGCTGCGTGTGGTCAGGAGGTTGCAACTCTGTGCAGAGACCCGTGGGCTCAGAAAACAGGAGTAGAACTTACGGCACAGCAAAGATAGCCTGACATTCTCACATGTGACCCAAGCTCAGATTCAAAGTGGAAGTGGCAAGACCTTGCGTGGGCGGGGTTGCACTGGTTCTTTGGCTGCCTGTCCTGGTACCACCTCTCTTGGGCCTGGATGGGGTTGGGGGTGAGCCCTCAGCCTCCTGGGCACCTCAGAGGCCTCACATTGCCCTGTATTCTGACCCCTGGGGGATGCCTAGCAGGCTGGCCTTGGCGTGGGTGTCCTTGGCTTCATACTCCACTCTGTCCAGGATCTCTGGTCTGTATCCCAGAGATCTCTGTGACAGGCAGGAGCAGAGGCATGTCACCCCATGAGGCCTAGGAGTTATTAAGATGGGAAACGTTGAAAGATTAGATTTATGACAGCCGACGGTGGATTATGAAGAATATTTATCAAATGTCATTGCCTGCAGCCTACAATTTACAGAAGGTTTGCTTAAGCTGAGGGGATCTGATTGGACTGCCTCCTCCCCACCACTAATGAATGACAGCTCTAATGGATGGCCGGCCACACAGGGTGTTTATCTGCTTTTTATTAATCATTATTATCACAGCATTTCCATAGGGCCCCTCCACCCACAGCTCTTGAGGTCCCAGCACTGGGAGGCTCTGTTGGCCACCTCAGTGTAACTGTGGTGCTCCCAGGAGGTGTGTCAGTCGCTGTGGACCAGAGAAGGCCCAGCTCCACTCCTCAGGAAGAGGAAAAGGCAAGTCTGCCTCCCTTCCACCCATTCCTTAGGAACTACCTACTGAGCACCTGTCAGGGTCAGGCATCTTAGCTGCAAGGCAGAACCAAAGCCCAAGTCCGCAGTGTAGACCAGAAGGGGGCATGAAGCAAGCGTCCGTGGAGGTGAACCTGCAGCTGTGTTCAGTCTCTCCACGAAGGCGCAAGAACGCCGAGTGGACACGGTGGGGGCTTCTTGGAGCAGGTGGCACTGACCTGCAGTTTGGAGGATGAGTAGGGGGAGGGAGCCTTCCGAGTACAGAAGATGGCACGTGCAAAGGCCCTGCAGGGGGAAAGGAGGGAGTGTGCTGGTGGCTGAGGCGGGGGAGGAGATGGTCAGACCCTTGGGTTGTGTGAAGGCGTTTGGTCCCTGAGACTGGTGCAGGGGCTTAACCAGGAAGAGTGGCATGATCACTGTCTGTTTGGAACATTCAGGTGAGCCCCATGTGGGGGATGGGTTAGAGGAGACAGGGGTCTGTTACTGTCTCTGCACACAGGAGGGCTGTAGCTTGTACTCACTGACCAGGAGGCCAGAATCACTGACCCCAGCCAGCACTGACTCCATTGCACCACTCACTGGGCCTCAGATGAGGCCCCTGCTGCTCCTACTCCAGTGGTGGGGCTGGGGCGGGGGCGACAGTAGGTTCTATTTCAGACCCTTTGTGATGGTTTCACACACCGCTCTAAGAGGTTGGTAGTTTTAAAGACTTTTTTTTTGTTGTTCTAATTTGAAAGTCAAAGTCACACGCAGAGAGATCTTCTCTCCACTGGCTCACTCCCCAGATGGCTGCAACAACTGGAGCTTGTGCAGACTGAAGCCAGGAGCCTTGAACTCCATCCTTGTTTGTTGTGTGGGTAGCACGGGCCCAAGCACTTGGGCCATCTTCGGCTGCTTTGCCAGGCACATTAGCAGGGAGCTGGATTTGAAGTGGAGCAGCTGGGGCCTGAACTGGTGCTCATCTGGGCTGCCAGCGTTGCAGGTGGTGGCTTAACACACTGTGCCACAGTGCTGGCCCTAAGAGGTTTTTATTTTTTATTTGTTTATTTTTTAATGATTTACTTATTTGAAAGTCAGATTTACAGAGAAAGAGAAAGGGAGAAACAAAGGAGAGAAAGGTCTTCCATCTGCTGGTTCACTCCCCAGATGGCCGCAATGGCTGGGGCTGGGCCAGGCAAAGCCAGGAGCCAAGAGTTTCTTCCAGGTCTCCCACATGGGTAGCAGGAGCCCAAGCACTTATGCCATCTTCCACTGCTTTTCCCAGGCAGTTAGCAGGAAGCTGGATCGAAAGTGGAGCAGCCAAGACACAAATCAGAGGCCATATGGGATGCCTGCATCGCAGGCAGTGGCTGTACTTGCTATGCCACAACCTCGGCCCCATAGAAATCTTTATATAAGCATTGTACAGATGAGGAATACATAAGCATTGTATAAACATCGTACTTATGAGGAAAGGGTTTGTGTAACTTGCCAGGGCGGCACATCATGGAGCCAGGATCTGAACGGGCCAGTCTGACCCAGGGCTGTGTGGATCACTGTGCTTTGCTGCCTCTCAGCTCTGCCTGTCCTGAGCAGCTGCTGTGCAAACCCCAGGGAGAGCGTGCTCACAGCACCCTGGGGTGTGGCTGCCCCTGGCTTCTTGCTTCTCTGCCTGGGAATGGGTGGGGGAAAGCGGCTTGGTCTCACCTGGGAGGCCCTTGGCAGCGCCACGTGGGTGGTTACCTGGCGCCTGGAGACTCTCCACCGTTGGTCACAGTTGGCGCCATGCCTGCCTCCGTGTGGGAACTTAGAGACAAGTGCTTTCTGGGGCCGACCTGGGGTTCTGCCGCTGTCCCCTTATCTGCTGCCCAGCTTGGCAGTAGCAGGAGCCAGTGACTCTGCAGAACTGACAGTTTGATCCTTCGAACCCGGAAAAGAACACAGACTCCCTGCAAGACAAGGTCTACGTGTCCTCGAGCTGTTATTGCTGTTATTATTTTTATTATCACAAATTGCTCTGAGTGGGAGGTGCAGGGCGAGGGCACTCCCACCTGGGGGCAGGGCAGCTGCTGAGCGGGGCTGAGGCCCAGCCTGACGCTGGAGCCTTTTCTACTCCGGTCACCCAGGGTCTGCGAGGTCACACTCGAGGCCAGACTGTCCCTGCCACAGCGGGTGCAGCAGCTGTGTGTGCAGGGCCGTCTGTGATGCAGGCGCGTTCTTCAGAGGGGCTGCTGCCTTCCGAGGGCTCCTCCTTGCCCATGTCCCCAGCACAGTTTCTGTCACTGAGGGGCCAGCGGTAAATATTTGTTGACTGATGGGCTAGGCTGAGGAATGGCAAATTGGTTTCATCTCAGGCGTTCATTCAGGTCAGTCGGTGGCTGCCTGCAGCTCTGTGCGGACAAGCAATTCCAGGGCATCATCCGAGCTCAGCAGGAATGAGTGCTGTGATTGATTAGTGATGTCTGGCGTGCCTTTGCTTGGGGTCTATGACTTAGCTATTGCTGAATAATAAATTACCCCCAACCATTAATGGCTTAAAACAATACACATTTGTTGTCTTAAGGCGTCTGAGGGTCAGAAATTTGGGAGCAGCTTAAGGATGGCTCTGGCTCAGTGCATTAGCTGGCATTCTCCAGGGAGACCCCTTGCGGGTGTATATGGTGTTGGGGGGTTGGTTGGTGTTGGTGGCAGCTGAGAAGTCCCCCAAGGGCTCGTCAGCAAGCTGGAGACCCCGGTGGGCAGGAGCATGGCCCAGTCCAAGTCCAAAGCCTCGGCACCAAGAAAGCTGAGGCCCAAAGACCCGAAAACCCAGGCGGCCGCAGGTCTGAGTCCTGGAGACCAAGAAGGAGGAGCCTGGAATGTCATTTAGTTACATATCTATTTTCATTTATTTGAAAGGCAGAGAGACAGAGCTAGAGACAGGTAGACAGACAGACAGACACTGAGAGAGCTGCCATCTGCTGCGTTACTCCCTCAGATGCCTGTAATTGTGGCGGCTGGGCCAGGCAAAGCCAGGAGCCTGGAACACGATCCA